CACTTGCATGTTTTATTCGGAATGCTTGGAACTTCATCATTTTGAATTGTTTTGTAGGCATTGCGGGTATGTGGAGCATGGAGTGATGGAGCATTGGAGCATGAAGAGAAGATGAGTTGGAGGAGTCGTAGAAGAAAACTTAAAGACATAGCCCAAGTTGTAGCATATCATCATAGCAAAGGACTATGTTTAAAATGTGGTTCGTGTTACAACGACACGAGTTGTGTTTGTCATTTTTATATATAATTGAGCAACATGACTTGGTTTAAAGTTACAAAGAAGACAAAGTCAAGTTTGAAGGGCAATTGAAGTTTCAACAAAAAGCATGGTCTGATCCAAAAAAGCACGGTCGTGAGCCAAAACTCACGGTCTACCCCAAAACTCATGGTCACGAGCATAACTGCGTGTTTTCCTGAGAGAAGTTACCACAAGTGCTAAAATAGAGGAATTTGGATCTTTCTTTAGAGAGCTGGTTTTTGGAGCACCTATGGACAATTATAGGAGATTTTTTAAGGCTTCTTATCATTGAAAATACTAGTAATTTCAAATTGTAAGCATTAAACATTTCCAATTTCATCTATTTGTTTGATTTGTTTTTAGCCATGCATGGCTAAAAACCCTACTTCTAGCTCTTGTTGAAAACATGTTGATTATTTGACTAAATACATACGGCTTAATGTTTTGTTTATGATTCTATTCTAGTGATTGGGTTATTGTTTAAAATAGAATCCTAGGACTTAATTTATGTTTGATTGGCCACTTATATGAGTTCAATGCTTGTGTAGTTAATTGACTTTAAGTGGTAGCTAATCGCTTTGTGAAGTTAATGATAGGTAACAAACAATCAGTTTCTTGTTATAGAACATATATCATATGTTTTCACACTTCCGAGCATACGAGAATAAATAAACATTTTTGGGAAGCTTGTTCAAACTTAATGCAGTTTTTCAATGCAATCTAAGAGTATAGGTCTAGTCAAAGAGCGTGTTTTGATTAAATAATTTAGTAAGTAGGAGGTATTAGAGCATGCTAATATCTTTTTATACCAACTTAGAATTGTAATTATGAATCATACAATGGCATAATCAAGTTAAATGACAACATTGACCACTGGAACTAGAACCGTTTAATTCATTGTTTACAAATTTGTTCCATTTTCTACAAGTTTTCAAAGTAGATTTTTATTTACATCATTTAACATCTTGCAAACAAAAGCCCTTTTTTGTGACCGAAGTACCTTGCGCAAAGAGGTATTGAAATTTGTTTCGTCTCTTTAAGGATCAAATCTGCTTATCTTGTACTATTTTTCAGTGCAATATAGTAGTATTTTTGGATTCTACTATGCCTCTTTATTTATTGTGTTTGGCACCCTAACTAAGTTTTCATCATTTCACCAACCTCCATCATTATAGAGCATTCCTTGAAACCCGAGTATCTCTCTCTCTCTCTCTCTCTCTCTCTCTCTCTCTCTCTCTTTCTCTTTCTCTTTCTCTCTCTCTCTCTCTCTCTCTCCCTCTCTCTCTCTCTCTCTCTCTCTCTCTTTATCTCTCCTGTGATACTAAAGTTCCTTTGTGTTCTAGTGAAGATTAAAGGTGAAGGAATGTCATTTTGGTGCTAAGAGTATTTGTTTTAAGCCTTGATCTAGCTTTCCATTCTATTTATGGACCTTTGCAAGTATAAAGTTCCAATCGTGATCCTTATTTTCTTAGATCAATTTATTATGCCATTTTGTCCCTTTTGATCCATTTCTTTGGAGTTCTTGGAGTTTGGAGAACTCCATAAAATTATGTTTGGATTAAAGGCTTTATGGACTAATTAGATTTTGGAAAAATATGTTTACATGAATCTCCATGGTGACATGTATGAGTTTTGGTCTATATTGATATTATGTTTAGAGTTTTGAGGAGTGTGAACCATACAATGGATAATGTTCAAAACTTTATCCATTAAGCATCTTAGAAGATTTAGATATGAGGTTTCAAGCGTCTGACTTAACGAATTAAGTCATTAGAAAGGAAGGATGTTAGGCCAAAAATCATGACGGGACTAGCATGCGGTCATGACATGACGCTAGGGTTTTTTGCGACTATTTATTCGCCTACTGATCATAGTATGACCACTAGCTGGTAACAATGTGATGACACTTGAATTTTTGACCAATTTGAATTTTGGTCAAAAGGAGGTTTTGAGTTATAGACTGAGTTTTAGCCTATGATTGGATAGATAGTTCGCGTAGCTAATTCGTTGGACTTCGAGTAGTTGATTTCAGATCTTTGATATGGTGACTTCTCACTATACTATATAGGACACTAGGTGTCATGGTATGCTAGACTAGTAGGGTCTTGCATATTGGGTTGGACCTGTTGGGCGAGGCTCGCATGGTTAAAATAGACCCAGTAGGTTAGACCTATTTCCATAAGTATATGGATGTTCTATGAGGTATGTGGTATTTAGGGGAACTCACTAAGCTTTATGTTTACAGTTTTAATTTTAAAATATTTCAGCTTGTTCGGGCAGCAAATGAAAGGGTGCGGCTTGATTTCATTGCATCCATTGGAGATTTATTAACTTTATGTGTTTCTATCTTTTTGGTAATCTGATATTCAACTTTTAGAATTGTTAAATTTATATTTTTATTATTTATATACATTTGGAATGAAATTGGTTTGGTTTTCTTATTATTAAAAACGAAAATTTGGTTTGGAATTTGGGATGTTACAAGTTGGTATCAGAGCCTTGGTTTGAGGGATTCAGGCTAGCACTAGGAACATCTGAACTCAAACTAAGGACTGGAAAATTCTTTTTTGTACAAAAATGTTTTTATGAAAGAAAAGGATGTGATGTGTGCAGTTAACCAAAGCTCAAGTAAGTAATTCGCAGAATACCCATACATGTTGATATGTTATTTATGCAACAATATGATATGCATGTTATAAGTTAGACTAAATATCTTCTCAGGATTGCATGCTAACGTGTCTGCTTAGGATATATACCTTTTTGTGCCTGTTATATGCATGTTATGAGCCTAATGTGTGCTTGTTAAGGTTTATGATGACATTGGTGAATTGTCAAGTGATTGCTTTAGAGTTATACATAATTAGGACTACATAGCTTTAGAATTCTTGATTCAGCCTTAGTGCATGTTACTTCCTGATGAAGGCCTTAGGGTAGACACATTTATGTGAATGTCTATCTTATCTTTGGTTATGTATGACTTTCTTTCATGAGGTGATTTGTATACGTTAGGAGAGGCCTTTTTTGCACACAAGTAGAGAGAGGAGATCCTAAGAATTCCTATGTAGTATCTTAGGGTATGAGTACACTGGTATGATAGGATGTCTGGTATTGGCTATAAGGAAGCAACTTAGGAGCTTTACGATGATTCATGGGCAGGTAAGAATAGGTGTGGAAGGTAGTATAGGCCTGTACTATAGGATGCAATTGATTAGTACTTGAATAAGGAAAATTCTCAATGATTCTGAGGAGCGGGTAATT